CCCCCCCCCCAACGGAACAAAATGTCAAATTTTCAAATTTCGAGACCAAAAAAAAGTGTCCTCTTAGGACCAACAAAAAAGTGGCCCCCCCCCCCCCCCTAAGAAATCCTGGATCCGCGCCTGACGGTATCAGTCTGAGCATGAGCAGATAAAGGTCATTGCAGAACAAATTGTGAAATACTTGGAGACGAAATAATGGATACGTCCTCATGAAAGTTATGTAATTATTATTCATTTATGCACTCCACGATACACAGGTGGAAGTTTTCTTTGAAAAGGGGAAACAAAGGCTATTTATGTAGCACCTCCATCGCTGTAGGAGTGATTATTACAAAATATACAAAGTGGGACCTCTTCATGTTTTGAAGATCTGTGGATATTCGGGGTCATTGCAGTAATGTGCTTACTGTGAACTGGTCTATTCCCTGCACACTTGATTAAAACCGCCGAAGATGGCGTTATCAACGATGCTCACCAGCCCCGCCGGATCTTTTTGCCGGGCGTTCTCATTCATGATCAAGCCACCTTCGGCTGGCAGCAAGTATGTAGTGGGAGGTCGCAGGTCGTTGGTGTGGTGGAGATCAAAATTTTAAAAAGGCCAGATTCTGGACTAGAATCGCTGCTAAACAATTTTACGAGGGGAGGGTGTTTCGGGATTGGAAGAGGGAGCTGCTGTTTGTCGTGTTCCATTCTTTTTCGGCGTTTTGAATGCCAGGATCGAGGCTCTGCTTGAAATGAAAGTCCACCCTGATAATAAGTTTGTTATAATACGAGGGGGTATAGGCGCCTGAAGTGGGGGGGGGGGCAGGGGTGCAGTTGCCCCCCCCCCCCCCCCCCCCCTCCGTCAAAAAAGTGGGGGGGGGGCAAAACGCAAAAAAAAAAAAAAAAAAAAAAAAAAAAAAAAACAGTAATGGAGTAAACATGGTTTGTATTTTTAATCCAAAAGAACGTAACAAAAATAAAAACCTGAATTAAATCAATTATACAATTCCATTCAAAGAAAAGGAAAGTTCACAGGAATTAAATTTCATAAACATTGCGCACGCCACCTATACGGTATTTATCAATGGAGGTCTCTATAATAGCAATACACGCATATCGTGGACATATTGTGCGAGAATGGGAAAGCGTGTCCGTTTTTTTTTTGTTATAGGGGTGAGAAGACATGAGCCTCTGAACGCTGGCGTACTGATGGAGGGAAGGGGGGGGGTTATGTATTTCTTATTCGAAACAAGTGATTTACAAATTTTGATGTTGTGACATGATTTTCCGGCATTTTTTCTCCATTTTTTTTGTAAGTCTTACCTTTTTATGCGTTTGTTGGAAAATAAGAAATTCCCAAATTACAGTCAGGCGAAATACGCTAATTGATAGAAGCCTTTATGTCATGGTCTGCAAAGTGGCTGGGCTCTAGGCCCCCCCCCCCTCCTTTTTGAAAAAGTATGTTAAAGAGAAGAAAAAAAAGAAAGACGGAGAAAAAATAAGTGACCAGCTAATGTCACAAATAAAACCCCAGAGCTCACGGGGGCTCCGCCCCACGGACCCCAACAAGGAGTCTAAAGCGGGCCCCTGGATGCTCATCTGATCGTAATTGAATACCTAAAACCCCTAAGCTTCCGGGGGCTCTGCCCCCTGGACCCCAATAAGGGCCCTAAGGCGGGCCCCTGGATGCTCATCTGACCGAAATTAAATACCTAAAACCCCTGAGCTTCCGGAAGCTCTGCCCCCTGGAACCCCTCCAAGGGCCCTAAGGCGGGCCCCTGGAAGCTCATCTGACCATTATTAAATACCTCAAACCCCTGAGCTTCCGGGGCTTTGCCCCCTGGACCCCACCAAGAGCCCGGAAGGCGGCCTCCTGGATGCTCATCTGACCTTAATTAAATACCTCAAACCCCGGAGCTTCCGGGGCTTTGCCCCCTGGACCCCACCAAGAGCCCGAAAGGCGGCCCCCTGGATGCTCATCTGACCTTAATTAAATACCTAAAACCCCTGAGCTTCCGGGGGCTCTGCCCCCTGGACCCCACCAAGGGCCCTAGGGCGGGCCCCTAGATGCTCATCTGACCGTAAATAAATACCTAAAACCCCCTGAGCTTCCGGGGGCTCTGCCCCTGGACCCCACCAAGGGCCCTAAGGCGGCCCCCTCGATGCTCATCTGACCTTAATTAAATACCTAAAACCCCTGAGCTTCCGGGGGCTCTGCCCCCTGGACCACACCAAGGTCCCTAAGACCGTAAGACGGCTCCTGAATGCTCATCTGACCGTAGTTAAATATTAAAACCTCTGAGCTTCTGGGGGCTCTACCCCCCTTGGAACACGTCGATTGCCTTACAGAGGGGCCCTGGATGCTCATCTAATCGTAATTTAATACCTAAACCCCTGAGCTTCCGGGGGCTCAGCCCCTTGACCCCCTGCCGAGGCTCATGCCCTGGACCCCACGCAAATTTACGCTAATACGATAATACCCCACTTTGAAAAACGTTCCGCGGGACCTGCATGTAACGTGTAAGACTGGTGGTGATGCAGATTTTTCGTCTGCCCCCCCCCCCTTACGAACTTTTTTTCTCATTACGTCACTGCCCCCTTGAATGTTTGCCCCCTGGAATGTTTCCCCCCCCCCCCCCCCCCCCTAGTCCCAAACTGCTTCTGGCGCGCCTGCGAGGGGGGAAATGAGAACAACAGATCAGTGAAGGTTTGAAAAAATCGAACAATAAATAAGAAAGTTATGGATGCGACCGTCATTGTTGGTCAAACAGTTTTTGAGCGTCATGTAACGCCTGGCTGGAATGCTCCCCAGGGAGTGGAGATTGTGCACACGTTTGACGCGGTAAACCAAAATAAAGATTTCTTGGCATGATGTAATGCCTTTCAGCATGATATGGACGCAGCCATTTTCTGAACAATGGGACGTACCAGGCGGAGTGGTACTTGTATGATGACCAAACATTAATTGGAAAGACTTTTTAATTCAATAACAAAACCTTCACTTTTCAAACAGAGAGAAGGTAAACATTTCATTTGGTGAAAATGTTTAATAGGGTCAGAATTGTAACTCATTTATTTAAGAATACTAAAATATAGCGGTTCAAAATCTATTTCGTTTATGCGAAACAGCAACAACTTGTTTATGCAATTTGCGTTCTGGCGATTGGAGTACAAAGGATAATAGCAGGTGAATGAAATGCTTCAACACCACAAACACCTGGGAAGGAAGCATCCGTAATTTTGAATACATTCTGGTAGATGTAGTAACTAATTTTAAACCTAACTTTTGTTATCAAGATACTCCATGGAATCATTTCACATAATAATGACAATAAGAAAGCTTGTATATTGCTAATATGTCTCCGAGTCTTTGTAATAGTGACATAAAATATTCCCTTTTCAGGAGAAAAAATTCATTGGAATCTAATCAATGACTTTCAGTCAAATATTATTAGAAATTATGCACCAAATCGCGCCAAATGAGTTTGAAAATTCAATTTTCTTTCAACTTCTTAGGGGTCAAATCCCCATCAGACACCCTCCTGTTTGCGCAAGCGTGGAACGTGGCAATGACGCACCACTTCATATTTTATTCCATTGTGTCCTCACCACATTCTAAAAAAGATTGACGCCCATGCTGACTGACCGCCTCCAGACGGCCTTCAAGAAGTGTCTTCTATACAATAGTACACCTCCACAATAGATCAGATACAAAGGACGATATGATGTTGTGATTTCTATCTATCAAGAATAAATAATCATACTCTCAGAATCATTTCATGAAAAGAGATAAGAAAATATTTCCAACTTAAAGGGCAACATTCTATTATAGCTACATGTATTATCCTGGCTGGCGGCCTCCAGATGGCCGCTAAGAAGTGTTCTCTATAACACACCTCCACAATTATTGATCACATACAAATGACGAAAGGCATCATTGACTAACGAAGTTAGGTGCATTGAGAATCAAAGAAAACCTCAAGATTCTTCCTCGTGCTCTGGAAATGTTGTCCGTAAAAACAAAACAAGAAGGCGGCAATTATTGTTGATCACGTACTTGTTCTTTCTTAAGTTCATTATAATTATTATGATTATAATTCATTCACTCATATCCATATGCATTTATACATGAATACAAGGATAACATTATATCCATGTACATGTATTCTTACATACGAGCAATCACATTCCCCCTCAGACACGGGGAGCATCAGCGCCACTTCGTACTTTACTCCAATGATTGATTGATTGATTTGTATTCGACAAGCTTCCAACATACAACAGTTTACAAGAATAACAGATCAAAATTAATTCAGTTTGAACAGGACACAATCTTATTTCCGGTGGGGTCCCCGACAGACATATACACAATTAATAATTAAAATAGTAATATTTACAGAACAACAAGAAAAAAAACTTATTAAAGACAATAATGATGATAATAATTATAAAAACATTAAACTGATGACAAAAATGATAATAATTACAAGGAGAAAAGAAGAAGGAGGAGAAGGGGATGTTGAGTAAAACAAAAAATAGTGCTCCTACCCCCTCCCCCCCCCCCCGCCCTTTCGGCTGGTCGGATGAGTCGCCGCTAAATATTTTCTCACGACTTGGACCCCCTCTTTCGCCGCCGGCTGGATCCGCCCCTGACAACAACTGGTATTGGTATGTACTTGAAATACAAAATTGTCCTCCATGTCAGTAAACTTTTTGAGAGAACTCAACTTCTTTCACCACTAGACATAAAACAAAATGCCTTTTTCTCTCCTCCCTCTTTTCTTCTTCTTTCTCTCTTCCCTTTTCTTTCTTTTCCCCCTCCTTTTTCTTTCCCCCTCCCTTTAGTCCTTTTCTCCCTTTTCTTGTTCCCCCTTTTTTACCGGGGGGCACGTGCTCCCTGTGCCCCCTGTCCCCCCCCCCCCCTGAATCCGCCACTGTGTTAGGTCCTCGTTATGTTTGTTTGTTTGTAAGCCTAGCATAGGCCGCCTTCTGTCTGAGAGGTGAGCAATAGATTCAACTCATCGCGTGGCAGCAGCGACTGAATGTAATGGAGGTGGATCGTATCTTCGTCTGTAAAATGGCTTTAGGAGGGAGGACACTTTGTATATTTTGAGTGACTGATTTGGAATATCGACATTATTTCTAATTTTCACCACGTGTTATCATTGTGATCAACGTACTTCCAAATGTAACCAATGTAACAATGATAGAACAACACGTTAACACACGGTTTGATGTACACAGACGGGATCTCTCTGAAAATACAATTGTCGATAGTATAGCCAGCATACTACTAGACCCTTCTCTTCTTATCAGTGGAATTAACCAGTCAACACGATGGGATATATAAAGAAACGACTTATTATTTATGTGTTCTGCATTGCTACTACTACTACCATCCTTACTACCATCTACCATAACATATTTTCTACGTCTTATCAAGTAGAAAAAGTAACCAAAGGAAGATTACCACCAAGAGCTGTTTTTTCAAATGGGAAAAACAGAAATGTCAGCGCTGTTGGATATAATGTCACGGCACAAACTATGCCTCCCGAAAATAAACTAAATCCGGCTCCTTTGCGCGGATGGATGAAAACTGTACACTGGGAACCAGGAGCTGAGCTGGATATATATGACTTTTTAATCAATCCTGTCGATAAGTGCAATGCTGGAAAAGGTAATATCACATTACTTGTCTTAGTCAAATCAGCACCAGGTCATACTGCACGCAGGAATGCCGCCAGACAGACGTATTTCAGTGGGGCCGTAAAATATAATGTATCCACGAGGTTGCTTTTTATCGTGGGGGATTCCGAAGCACGAGACGAGAGAGAAAACATCCAGGAAGAGGCCCGAAGACATGGAGATATCCTGAAGGTGGGCTTCCACGATAGTTATTACAATCTCACCGTCAAGCTCGTCATGGGATTTAAATGGGCCTTACAATTTTGCAATAACAGTGAATTCTTGATGTCAATGGATGACGATGTCATGGTCGATATCGTGACCCTGGTCAACGACCTCCACGCTTTACCCCCGAACGATCACTCTCAATTCGTGCTGGGATCTAAGGGATGGGAGTTAAGTCCACATCGTAACGTAAAAAGTAAATGGTACATACCAGAGGACATCTACCCTGGCAAGACGTGGCCTCCATTTCCATTCGGGCATGGGTATGTTATGTCACATCAAGTAGTCGAAAGACTGTATCTGATATCCAGAGAATTTCCAGCGAGAATACCGTTTGATGATGTTTATTGCGGTATACTCTTGGACAAGTTAAGCATCAGAATCATCCACCGACGTAGATGGTTTAAAAATCGCCACCCGCAAAAAAGAGAGCTGGATTATTTAAAGATTGAGCTATCAACGCAACAAATGGAAAGAGCTTGGAAAAGTTTTGAAGGAGACTTTGAAAACTAGAATTTTCGTCCCCGTCTTATTCCATGGACCCACATGCTTATACAGAGTTGTAATTGATCCGAATCAGTCCCAATTTTGCAGTACGTCTCGTTGCCATTGATATTGTTAGAATATAGATTTTAGAATAAAATAAAATATAACGAAAAATAAAGTACAGAATTGAGTAGAATATCAAATAGGAAAAATACAACTTTAAGGTAGAATGCAAGATAAAACAAAGAATAGACTATAAAATAGACTAAAACGCAGATTATATCATAGTATATTATAGTTTCTGATGGTTGATGTAACAAACAAAAAATCAAATTACAGTTTAGGAATATTTATTTATTTATTTATTATTAATTCGGCACTTTTAAGGAATATAACAATGAACAATATAATCAATATAATATAATCCGCCACTGCAATATTATGAATGCAAAAGATGGTGGCCAGGAAAGAGGAAAACCCAGTTAAATGCCCGATTTAAATTGATAAATTGAATTAAAGATATAACTATCTACACATTTTGCGTTGTAAATGACTTAAGAGCAAAACTTGCAATGTATTGTTTATCTTTCATCTTACTTTCATTCAAAGTGTTTATTACAACTTAAGAATTACATGTATCATTTCCCAGATATCTTGAAAAACAAATGTAATTTTATAGTATTAGTGACTGCTTTGAGGGAAATAGTTGTTTTTATACGCTCAATGGAAGGTTAAAATTGTGCTATTATTGTAACCTTCCCGAGAGCGTATAAAAACAACTATTTCTCGAATATTAAAGCAGTCATTAATACTTTTATATGCCAAAAAAAAATAAAAAAAAAAAAAAAAATAAAAATAAACAAACTTTTGTCGAAGATGGGATTCGATCTCTTGCGTACAAAAGGTGATGTATCTAAAATCACCGCCTTAAACCGCTCGGCTATCGCGCTCTGTTACCATACATAGCAGTTTTTTCTTATATATACATTAAAATGGATTGAAAACGGCTTCGCGTGGTGGATGCTTCGCGGCTGCTCCATTAAACAGGCCCTTCTTTTACTTTTGCAATGCATATTGGCACGAATTTAGATCAAGATCTATCGGCAGATGTTGTTTTTTTTTTTTTTTGGAAGTTTATTTTCGTCTTCATGTCAACAATGCAAGATAAAATTGTCGGTAAGATCGATCGAGATTCAATTGTATTGAAATTACCGACCAATTCTTCGCACACGTACGGTATCCTCGATCGCTCAGACCATTTTTTAAGATGTAAACCTATGGGGTAACCATGGAGACTGAACTATTTTCCCAATAACCATGGTTACTGGGATTATAGAACTGTTTTAACCATGGTTACTGGGAATTTTACAGAAATAGTTGAAGTTTATGAATGCAATTTCGACCAATCAGACGGCGGCTGGATTTCTTAAGTAAGGTATATAATTTGAATTATTCACCTATACAGTGTTTTTGCATATACATGTATATCATTTTATCATACTAGATTAAATTTGTTTAATGATGATTTAATGAGTAAATTTAGTTCTATGAAGTTTGAATCCTTGGGTTTGATAATAGATCGGACACAAACAATGATGATACTGAAAACATTACATGTTGTGTTCATTTCATAATACATAGGAGATACAGAAAATTTGATGTTCCTTTTTTTTCAAATTTGGATTTGAAGTTGTAATATAGACCAGTAATTCAATTTCCAGATCATTGTGTATGGATGTATTACAAACACTACATATGAAGCTTGTAAACATCAGCCTGCTTATGTGAAAAAATAACTGATGCTAGACACTACAAAAAGAGAGTGGCTTCAAGTGTATATACTACCTATTACCATACATTTTGCACCCGTCCTCCTCAGGAGGTGGTCCAACAAAAGAGTATTACCGGGTGATAGCATTTTTATTCATATTTAGCATGAACAGGTGTCCTTGTGGACTTATTTCTCCACCAAAAAAAACTTGTTAAATAAAATTTTAAAATCCAAATTTCAATGGCCAAGTTTCGTCATTTCACGGCAAATTAGAATAAACTACAGTATCTGTGCATTTAATCGTTTTCATGAAATATGAGGAGAAATGCAATGTATTTGGAATCTTCCATCTAGGATATATTCAAATGTGTGTATCATTGTAAGGTGATTACAGAATTAGTATTAAATAATATTGAACGTTATTTGTATAGCGCATAGCACTAACACAAAGAAAGATTATCCCTACCTTGGAGACCATGGTTTGTAAACCTAATACTCCCGTATTTGTTTGGTTATGAAATTACATCTTCATAAACGAAATTATCGCGTCACAGAAACACGTGAAGCGTTAGTGATAGTTTTAGCAGGGATCACAAATCCCTGGTTTTAATCAAAATATCTGCGTGAAATTCACGTTTAATTTGAATAAAACCATCCACTCTTATACCCCACAAGACAAACTGAAAAATTCCATTTAAGAAATCCAAAAACCGCATTGGCTCTCAAATCCATTAGACACGCCGGCCCAGACATCTGGAACTCTCTGCCCATTGTAATAAGAAACCTTAGGACATTATATTCTTTTAAGAAGGCAGTTAAAACTATGTTATTGTCTAAGTATTGATCATGTCGTGTGTAATTCTACTGTATTCATGTTCGTGTGTACATTGACTGTATATTCAACAATGATGTGTAATCGTCCATGACCTAGCATCGTTTTTTTCCATTCATGAATGAACCTGTATTCAATCAGCAGCTGTATGAGATTTATTGTATTATTACCAACGCTCCTCCTCCTCCTTCTTCTCTCCCCTTTCCTTTTCTTCTCTGCAAGTCACTCTTTTTTTATTTGTATTTGTATTGTTGTATCTAAATTGAGGGCTGCCGGCACGTCAAGCTACTTTGCTTATTACTGTAGCCCTCCTGCATCTAATGTATATTAATTTCAATTCAATATATTTGTTTAAATTCAATATATGTGTTTAATATCGTTTATTATCTGTATAAAAATTATATACACTTGAAATATTGTATCAAGCCATATTATGTTCATGAAAATGTATGATGAAAAAAAGAAAAAAGATGCAGAAACCAATAAATCAAATCAAATCAAATCAAATCAAATTACGAGGCTGACTTGATGAATCATGAATCATGTTCTTCATTCACGTAAAATTTACGTCGAAGAGGAAATATGTTACTGTAACCCGCGTTCAACCCAATAATTACGCAAATGTTACACAACAAATGACCCAACATAATGACGTTCTCATCCTGTTTCTAAACATCGTGTTTGGGATCTTCGATAATTACGTCCAGGCGCGCCGGAAGCAGTTTGGGATTAGAGGGGTGAGGGGGGAGGTGAAGGCAAACATCCCAGAAGAGAAAGCTAGTTGCAACTGATCCAGTTGATCCAGGCCAGTTAGAATTTAACTGAGCCATAAGAACCATTTGGTAAAACTTCCAACCAGTTGAACGGCAACAACACAATACTGGTACGTCTGTATTTCCAATGTAAAGGCATTGGTAATATAGACTTACATAATTTAATTGATCGAATTTTTTTTCTCATATACTTGTGTTTTATTGAAATTATTTTAGTTCATAGTTAAGGTTTCCCTTATTCATGTTTAATTAAATGTAATTTATACGAAGTAGCAAAATGTCCTAATAACTTGTAATTTATATTTGTAGTATTTTCGAAATGAATTGCATCAGTAATTAAGAAATATGCTGTAAATTCAGATAAATTTTTAACAAAACATAGATCTACACGCACCCCATATTCATTATGCAAATGAATTGGTGTCAGCTGGTTCAACTGGAAATATGCCAACAGTCAGTCATCAACTGGTGCAACTGGAAATATTCAAACAGACCCAGGCGCGGATCCGGGAGGGCGAGCGGGCCATGCCCCCCCCCCCCCGCAACAACAACCAAAAGAGAGAGAGAGAGAGAGAGAGAGAAGGAAAAGAAGGGAAAGAGGAGAGAAGGGGAAGGAAAGAAGAGAACGAAGAGAAGAAAAGGGTGAAAAGAAAGGAAGAAACAGTTGCGATTTTTTTTCTTTTTTCTTTTCAATTTCATGTTATTGTTCATATTTCACATTTTACAATCTTCATTTACAACAAATTGATACATTAAAGGAGCTACACAAAGAAACATTCACTACAACTGATAATTAGAACAAATTACATATGGATGGAAAGATTTTCTCTTGAAAAACACGAATAATTTGCTGAGAAATCATATAGATATCATGGAAAGGCGTAAAATGCAATTTTTCAAGACCCTTCTTAGACCCCCGAACGCCCCTGAACGTAAGCCAAACACACGAGCGTAGCGAGCTCTGAATAGTGATGTCACACACTGGACAAACAGCTCAGTACCGGAGTCGCGCGTGTAGCAGTCTGCAGCTAGCCAGCCGTGTCCCGTGTGTGACGTCACAAGTATTGACGCTCTACAAAGGACCGCTGAAGGCAGAAAATCTGGATCACAAAACTAACATTTTTGAGAGTTGATTACTGCGGGCCCCAAACATATTTTGAAGAGGAGAGTTGTTGTATTTGATCAGTAAGGCTTCCCCTTCGCAATGATATGAGTTTTGCATCAATTCAAAACACTTTTGTTTCTTCGTGTGTCTACTTTAAGGTTCAGGTAATTTAGTGTAGACACAAAGGAAATGCATCAAATGAAGTTATATAATTGCATTTGACTAGTTCACGACAAACCATTCACTTATAAAACATTTAAATTACTATACCACGTAATTGCTTTTGGTGATTTGTATACGATACATACGGAGGACTTATATAGAATTATAAAGTCAAATTTAAAAATATATATATAAAAAAATATATATAAAAGTATTTGCATATACAGCAAACATTGATGGAGCACACAGTGCTAAATGCTTGAATATTTTAAAACAACCTTGAACAGGATATATCACATGTGTTTATTGAAAGTACCAGTATCTTTTCAGATCACGGAAATAAGGAGGAATAAGATATTTATTACTTTGGATATTCATTAGTTCATTTACCAGCTGCTGTTTTCACCTTGTTCATACAACATGCAGATGGTTTTTAGTGGTGTATTGAACTCTGTTTAATGTATTTATTTAATGAAATCCCTCTTTATTACAATGATTATGGTTGACTCGTTCAGTTTT